GAAGAAGTAATCGAAGCTGTAAATGGTTATTTTGAGGAGCTTGACGAATCAGTCTATAGAGATGGCATTAATAGACTGGAACACCGCTATGAGAAATGTATCAGCCTTGGAGGAGATTATGTTGAGAAATAAAAAAAAAAAATTTTTAAAAACCTTGTTTTTCTTGGTCAGGCCGGAAACTTATCAATCCACCCTCGTAATTTATTCATTCATATTTTATTAAAAGCGTTTCTTTAGACTACAAGCGACGTTTTTGCCCTTTTATACTATTCTATTCAATATCTTACCATGACTTATTTCTATATAGGTATTTCAAAAAACACTTGAGTTTTGAAGGCGCTAAGTAAACATACGCATTTGATTTTCAGAATATTGATACAGCAAACGGTCCCGGTTTCTCGTCCTGTATAAGTTTACTGCCGTGGTTGAATACATATTGATCTAACGATAAGTCGGGAGTCGACCGAAGCAGAGCAAAATTTTAAAGAAAAAGCAAATGGGAATGATCACGAGCAGCAAGAGGAAGAATTTAAACGCAAATTTCGCATCTCTTTCGTGGAGTTGTTTGAGAGAAAAATCATCATGCCCGCATTTGTATATACGATTTCACTTATACTCAGCGTTTTCAAGTCAGTGGGTTGAAAAAGTTTGGAAAACGTCGATGTGGGTTTCCCTATTTGTTCGCTTCGTTTGACGACAAATAAACTCGGGAATTTTAAATTCGGAAAGACTGATAAAGTAAACGCAAAAGTGTTCGTCAGTATTCCAAACAACATTTACAAACTAATTAATCGGAGAACAAAACCCGTAAAGTTTTAATTAAATTTAAATTATCGAGGGTGCACTTTTTGTGAAAAATAAATAAAATACTGTGGAAACCGAAATGTTTCACTAGTTTCTATTTTTCACTATTAATATACTGTTAATGCTAGAAAATCTTAAAAAAAACTAAAGCTATGAAAAACTCGGAAAATATTGTTAATAGCGAAGTAGAATTACACAGTTTTTTGAAATAACTTTTCTATTCCATTTTTGTAAACACTCTACTCAAGGGCTAGATGTAACGGGGCCTCAAATGTTATTTTTCCAAAAAACCGATCATTTTGTTTACACATTAACAACAAGTACATTTTGAAAAGTCGCGTTAATAATGCCTTCATTAGAAGTGGGCAAAACATGTATTGGCAGTGTACAGGTCTTGGAGTAACTAATAGGATGTCTCTCTTTGGTTTTCTTATGTATATTTTGATAGGCATATATGGATTAATAAAAGAATAGAGGGACCGGAAAATGCAGGGAGACGGACGCATGGATAGACGGAAACTATGAAGGTTTCAAATTGTTTAAGCAATCCTAAAAATAGCAGCTATGCAAGTATTCTGTTTTGCGCCACTGAATAATAAATTTTAAATTTTTCAGAGAAGCATCATCAAAGAATTAAAATCAATTATTTATAACAAATTAACTATTGTACAAAAATATTTAGGCACTGGAATTGACAGTACGATGTCCTCTTAAATATGTTTCACAAACATATCGTTCACATAGATACAAAATTCAAACAAAACTGTCGATAAATTGAAGCGATTGCAGTATGACCTTTCAGGTCTTTTTAGGACGGTTAGTAAACCGCAGTGGATCATAAAATGTATGAATCCCTTCTATCTCGGGATAGAGAGCACGGTGATTAGGATAAGTTAGGATTCGATTCTGTTATTTTGGATTACGTATTCAAAGAGTGGTTGGTGTAATAAGGTACTTTAGAAGACTACATGCAGGAGTAAAAATTACGTACGGACGCGTAATAAACGGCTCGAGCCTTATAAAACCGTCACCAGGTTGTGCTCGCCACTGCGTTGCGCAGTAAGGTAATGCGCATAGATAAGTTTGTTTTCCTTTTTTATTAAGATTTGTGCAAGCGTTCTTGATGCGCTCAACTGATTTTGGAAAGATATAATAATAAATTCAATCGAAACAGTTATTCTTCCATTTTGTATCCTTTTATATTAATGACACTTTTCAAACCCATTCGATTGGGGGTAGGTCTTTACTCCTGTCTGTAGTCTTCTTAAAGCCAGTGTAACTATTTAAATTAGAATTATCCAATTGTATAAAATTCCAATTATCTAAATCAATAAGCCACAAAAGAAACCCACTGCAGTTTACAGAGTCCAATAAAAGAATCAGTTAAAATGGAAATTTCAGTAGGAAATCGCTGATATTTACAGTTTTTCTATCTTTTAGTTTTATTCTTTCGCTTTAATTAAAACAATAACAAAATTTAAAGGTAGTGGAGGGCATGCACTCACCCGCTCTGTGTCTGTATCGGTTCTCCGCTGGCCTCGGAGCTAAAACAAGAAAGACGATGATCAGAACTTAATTGCTTACTAATTCCTAGCTCATTACAACTATGACTCCCGGATATTAGATAGCATGGTACATCCCTTTACCCTATAACGTACTGACGACAACAATCACCCCTCCAATTGTGTCGAAAACACGCACGAGATTAAGGTTGTTTGACGCGTTAGATTGATTATACAGAGTGAATATCAAAAACAAATACATGAGTCCGTGTAAGGATTACCAACTTCAAAGGACATTTTCTTGTAAATTGTCTTACATTACATCCAAATGAATTTACTACAAATATATATATATATATATTACACCTAAAAGGTACTATATTTTTACCGTTTTTAAATCCTCACATTAAGAAAAAAGTATCTCAGTAGCGACCTTGTATATAATTCTCTAATGACTATATCTAAAGATATTTTAATTAAGGCAAGAAAAGCGGCACATTCATTAGGGGATTTTCCTCCGTCGCTCCGCTGAGATTATTAAAGGCACGTGGGAAGTTATCACGCAACCAAACAATAAATTTTATCTCAGTAAAGTATAATAATTAAATGGATAGGATTATGTCAGAAGCTAAAAGGGAAACTTAACCCTCATTTCTTCAACAGTGGGTGCAGCCGAGAAGTTCTTACCTATCAAAATACAAGCGCCAGTTGTTAGGTAATAAAGTAATAAAAAAGATAAGGTTGTTAAAGTTTTTCTAACTATAATATCTTTCATCTCCTTTTAATGTAGCTTATTAAGTCTATCCTAATCCAATTTTAGCCTAAGGTTGCGACAGGAAAAAAATGATTTTTACCTTTAGACGTCTAGAAATTGTTATCTTCATTTCTCTTCCGGAGAAAGAATTACAGGAATGATAATTCAATTGAAAAATGTGTCATAAGTGCAGTGGCGTTGCGTGAGGGTTGCGAAGGGGACTATGGGGCCTCAAGAGGTGCAAATGTGGAGGCGGCAAAATGCTTTTTTGGTATAGAATAGAATTAGGTCCGCCGCACAGCAATATTAGATGTTACAATTTCTCGGAAATCAAAGCGAGACTCGATTCTCCGTCTCTCATCGAGAGAGAATGTCGAGAGACTCAAAAAAACTGTTTAGCGTCTCTAAACGAGAGACACAGGTCGCTCATAGAGAGATCCTCATTTCGTATCCAGTCTCTGAACGAGAGACTCGAATCTCTGAACGAGAGACTAGAGTCGCTCATAGAGAGATCCTCATTTCGTATCCAGTCTCTGAACGAGAGACTCGAATCTCTGAATGAGAGACTGGAATCTCTAAATAAGTGGTGTCTCGATAGACATGGTTAAAATTTTCTAAATTCAACATATTTCAGTGATCCCAGTCTTTCTACGAGAGACTCGAGTCTCACAATTTTTCAGTTTTATTCATTCAATCTCTCTGTGAGAGACTCGAATCTCTGAATTAACAATTTTATCGTTCGAGTTTCTCATACAGAGACTGTGAGAGATCCATAAGAACACCTAGGCAATAACTGAGAGAATGTGAAAGACGCTCTCAGAGACGTTGAAAGATTGAAAGACTCTGAGAGACTGGAGAGAAACTGAAAATTTTTGTCTAGGGTTAATAATTTGTACATTGCATAAATTCTACTCATCTCCTCTAAGGCTAAATTAAAAATATAAGTAATCCCGACTAATATAAATAAAAGTGTTACATTATTATGAAAATAGGGAGAATAGCGGAAAATTTAGGTTTGGCTCAGGGTGGCAGAAATTCATGCTACACCACTGCATTTGTGTAAATGGTAACATTTGGATATCTGTATATATTCTGAATAGAGCTTTTCACAGGATTATTACCATCCCAATTTACTTCAAAACTGCCCTACATGTTCCCTCTCACAAGTTTGAAGCAGCAAGCAATTTAAGGGGGGTGAATAATAAATAGCTCCAAAGCGTGATAATTTCAACTCTACAGTTCATTTGTTGCCTGCCGATTGAGTTGAGATTTTATTTTTAATTCAGTCTAAAATTGAACGTCAAGCTTGGGCCGGTACTTGCCGTTTCTATTGAAATTAATGACTGCCAACTTAAAAAAATTGTTTTCCCTTATATTAAAATGTCGGAAAATTTCGCCCTTTGATCGTTGCCGTGTTCTATCGCTTTGACGAAACCGAAAGAATCATGTACTTATATACAGAATATAGATATATAAACATGATTTATTACCAACAATTTTCCCTGTTGTGTACTTTTTTGGAAAAGGCTTATAATTAATGAAGAGGTATTGGAAAGAATAGGAGAACAGAGGACTCTATGGAAGTCAATAAATAGACGAGATAGGTTGGTAGGACACCTTCTCAGGCATGAAGGTCTAGTCAGAGACATATTAGAGGCAGAAACAGGAGTTAAGAGGAGTAGAGGTGGACCTAGATTAGATTACTGTTCGCAAATGGTTAAGGATGTGGGTTGTTCTAGTTTCAGGGAAATGCGAAGATTAGCGCAGGGTAGGAAAGAGTGGAGGTGCGTGTCCAACCAGTCCTAGGACTGATGACATGATGATGATGATGATGATGATATGTTGTATGTGATTGAGAAATGGTAATTTAGCATTTCATCTGGATTGCAGTGACGTTAATTACAACTAAAATAAATGTACAAATATTGATAATGACCTCATGAGATTCGGGGGAGGTGGTGGTAGGAGGAACACGGTGTTGTCCGGACATACGTGGTCCTCGAAGCCTCCACACTTGGCGTAATCTTGACAAGAAATTTGTTCCCACATTTTTTCGTAAACAAAGTGAGACAACACAACAAATTTATACACACTTCACGTTTAATTTTGACTCCACTGTGAATTTTGACGGATCGGACAAAATTTACATATCTACTTTATTTTTTTGTTTTGCTCGCACGTAGTTACGGAGACTAATTTTTTTCTCGTCAATACACGTCAAATGTGACAAATATTAAAAAGTAACTAGATCATTAAAACCGAGAGTAACATCAATTACGCACATCATTGTTTTGTATGCAACAGAAGGAAATGACGTCAATTCAAGAAACAGTTACTTCAAAAAGAGCGTTTGGTTAACTTCTAGAATAATGACTACATATTTTTTTGAAATTTGATGATAATAGGTAGACTAGGAAGTCAGATAAGTCAGGACGGAAGGAGTAGTAGGGATATAAAGCAGAGGATAATGTAGAGTCGCCTTCAATAAGAAGAAGTCACTCCTATGCTCGCGAAAGATTAATTTAGAAATTCGAAAAAGGTTGTTAAAGGTGTATGTTTGGAGCACGGCGTTGTACGGGTGCGAAACATAGGCAGTGGGCGCGGCGGAAAAGAAAAGGTTAGAAGCGTTCGAAATGTGGTGTTATAGGCGAATAATGAGGATATCGTGGATAGAGAAGGTTAGAAATGAAGAGATATTAGAAAGAATATCAGAACAGAGGACTCTATGGAAGTCAATAAGAAATAGGCGAAATTGATTGGTATAGGATACCTTCTCAGGCATGAAAGTCTAGTCAGAGACATATTAGATACAGAAACGGGAGTTACGAGGGGTAGAGGTAGACCTAGATTAGATTACTCTTCAAAAATAGCCAAGGATGTGGGAAATGCGAACATTAGCTCGGGATATGAAAGAGTGGAGGTGCATGTCCGACCAGTCTAAGGATTGACGACGACGATGATAATGATTTATTTTTATATGTATATATACAATAATAATATATATACATGCAAGGAATTAAATACATATTAAATACGGTCAAACGCGCGGCGGGTGCAAAATGTACTATGTTTCCGTATTACAATTTATTTTTCCATCACTTTTCACTTTTATCTGCTTAATATGAATAATAACACGTTATCTTAGCTGGAAACGAAGTTATAAATTTACCGAGAAGTATCGGACACCCTCCGGTGCTCCGACATCAAAAGAAGCTTTCGTGAAAGATTTTATATTACGTTCAGATTGTATACGTCTTCTTTCATTACCTTTCACCTGTCACGTTGATCTTAAGAAAATCAAAGCTCAAAGAAGAGTTTTGTGAAAAAAAAAAACGACTTTCGGCTTCCACATGACTTGGAACACTTCTCTATTCACAAAACTGAAACGTATATTTTTATAAACGTAATTACTAGTAACATTACTCATTGAAGCTACGGTAACTGCTTTAGGATTTTACATAAATTAAGAAACTGACAGTATAATTGTTTTGTAAATCTAAAGCCTGTCTACTTATAGTGAAGTGTTATTATCTCTGCATTATTATAGGTATTTATTTGTGTTGCGTGTTCTCCCAGATTCAAACTACAAATGTAAAGTGCGCACAATAATTTTGTTTTGTTGAAGGATTTACCACGTTCTGTTCAGACTATAGACTTCTTATTAATTTTCCTGTAATCTATAAGTAAAAGAATATTTTCTGTATTTTTTTCAAAATTTTAGATTCAGTAGTTTCGGAGATAAGGGTGGAGAAAGNATGATCTAATCGTCATTTATTAATATAACTAGTTACTGTTTTGTTTTCGTTGTTGTCAAATATTATCAGTCTATTAAAGAATATGAAATAAACTGCCTGTAAAATATATATACTGCATGTTTGGAATACAGTTTTTATGACTGTGAAACGGTTTTAATTGTTTGATGTGTGGTCTTATAAGAGGATGCTCGAAATATCCGGGGTAGAAGAGGTTAGAAATGAGGAGGTATTAGAAGTAGTAGGAGAATAGAGGGTGTTACGGATGTCTACGCAGGTTGGTAGGATACCTCAGTGGTGTTGTGCTAATTTTTTTTACCAGAACGCGTATATATAATTATATAGACAGGGCCGATCCTGGGTAGGCGGCCGCTCTGTGCGGTCTCATGTCCCAAATTTGACGACGACGACGGGGGGATTTCCCCCAATTTTCGCCCGTCGCCAGGATCGGCCCTAACAAATACGCATACCGGCTTGAGTTCCGGTTCAGCAGAAAAAAAAAACGTTCCGGACTCCGGTTCACGGTTCGGAAAAACAAGCCGGTTCGTTCCGGTTTATGTTCCGGTTCGAGTTCGGTTCAAACCCTTGTTTATAATAATACATATAAAAATTCGTCAAAAATTAGAAAAAAAAATCAGCAATTCTTTTTAATTTTTTTTTCAATACGTCAGCCAATTCTCGTTATCAGAAATCATCTTTAGTTCCGGAACGCGTTCCTGTCCAAAAAGGAAGTACCGGAACGACGTTCCGGAGCGTTCCGGCTCGACAACACCACTGGTTNAAACATCGGTTGAAGATTACGTAACATTTCATCCCTTTTTGGTTGCTTTTTATGGAAAAAATATTACTATTATCATTGGGGAAGATAGTAGAAAGGATTAAAAACGAAAACCCTTCACTTGAAACAACGACTTTGATTTCCGAATTTGAAGAAGAGACCGATTTTATAACATAGCTTTTGACTATCTGAAAAAGTGATCACTTTCCTTTGATGAATTGCTCGAATGGATGACACTATTTGAAATCACAGAATTAGGCTCCTAGCTTAGTAACGGTGTGGAAATGGAGCGAGCATCTTAGGAACTTTGTAGAAGCTACATCTGCATTGAAAGATTAATTCTATGGAAGGGAAATGGAAATAAACAATCCTACAATTAAATACCAATACGTAAAATTTGTTTGTTATTTGTTTGTAATCCTTGCCCACAATACCATGTAGTGAAAAGAGTCTTTTCGTTAATATTGAATGTTAGGCCAGTGGTCTGATGAACAAAATCGCCTGTTCCTAGAGACTATGGAGTCGATTTTGCAGTGTCAAGTTATCGATCTTCTGAAATCTTAATATAATTATCATCATAAGGCCGTCAGTCCTAAGACTTGTTGGACACGTACCTCCAGTCTTTCCTATCCTGAGCTAATCTTCGCATTTCCCTAAAACTAGAACAACCCATATCCTTAACTATCTGCGAACAGTAATCTAATCTAAGTCTATCTCTACTAGACTTGTCTCTAATATGTCTCTGAATAGACCTTGATACCTTAGAAGGTGTCCTACTAACCTATCTCGCCTATTCTTACTGACTTCCATAGAGTCCTCTATTCTTCTACTCTTTCTAATACCTCTTCATTTGTAACCTTCTCTATCCACGATATCCTCATCATCCGCCTGTAACACCACATTTCGAACGCTTCTAACCTTTTCTTTTCCGCCGCGTCCACCGTCCATGTTTCGCACCCGTACAGCGCGGTACTTCAAACATACACCTTTAACAACCTTTTTCGTATTTCTAAATTAACCGTTCGCGAGTATAGTAGTGACTTCTTCTTATTGAAGGCGACTCGATCCTCCGCTATCCTCTGTTAAATAATGTAGAATATTGTTTATGAGTTAACGGCAGAGGTTCTTAAGTATTTAATAAAGGAAGATAGCTGTCGTTTAAGGTTGTGTATTCATAAAACGGTTAAAATAAGCAAGGATATTTTATAAATGGTTCGCTGCTCTTGCAAAATTCCATTTAGCGGCAAGTGCATCGAGGGTTGCACAAGCATTTTCTATTTAGCGGAAGATCTAAATTATTAAAGCAAGCGAGAAAAAGTCTACCACATAATAAAGCTTCATGAGCCGTACCCTTTATTGAATTTAGGTTCGAAATAAGGTTGGCGCATCAACGTCTTTCTACTCGTCTCATCTCGCAAATAAGACGCCATTTCCATAGCACCGCGACGCTACGGCATGGCAGAGGAAGCCAAATTTCCTTATTATTTCTGCAGTAGCAAAAAAAAGGTCATCTCCGAACGACATCGACATACTCAACAGCGGCAAACGGCAAACTTCTCGAGCTATATCTAAAGATATTTTAATTAAGGCAAGAAAAGCGGCACATTCATTAGGGGATTTTCCTCCGTCGCTCCGCTGAGATTATTAAAGGCACGTGGGAAGTTATCACGCAACCAAACAATAAATTTTATCTCAGTAAAGTATAATAATTAAATGGATAGGATTATGTCAGAAGCTAAAAGGGAAACTTAACCCTCATTTCTTCAACAGTGGGTGCAGCCGAGAAGTTCTTACCTATCAAAATACAAGCGCCAGTTGTTAGGTAATAAAGTAATAAAAAAGATAAGGTTGTTAAAGTTTTTCTAACTATAATATCTTTCATCTCCTTTTAATGTAGCTTATTAAGTCTATCCTAATCCAATTTTAGCCTAAGGTTGCGACAGGAAAAAAATGATTTTTACCTTTAGACGTCTAGAAATTGTTATCTTCATTTCTCTTCCGGAGAAAGAATTACAGGAATGATAATTCAATTGAAAAATGTGTCATAAGTGCAGTGGCGTTGCGTGAGGGTTGCGAAGGGGACTATGGGGCCTCAAGAGGTGCAAATGTGGAGGCGGCAAAATGCTTTTTTGGTATAGAATAGAATTAGGTCCGCCGCACAGCAATATTAGATGTTACAATTTCTCGGAAATCAAAGCGAGACTCGATTCTCCGTCTCTCATCGAGAGAGAATGTCGAGAGACTCTCAAAAAAACTGTTTAGCGTCTCTAAACGAGAGACACAGGTCGCTCATAGAGAGATCCTCATTTCGTA